GGCTGATATCATAAACCAAGACTATCATTAGATGAGAGAAGGATGGCTACGGGCATGATGTCGGGGTTCACTTAACGAATTATCTACTCATCCTGAGTGTACAACAAGGCACCATTCACCATCAATTAAAGGGTTCCAACATGACTTGGTTTGTCTCAACCCCTCACTTTTACCCAGAGGTCAGCTTAGAGGTCAGAGACCAGGAAGCAGAAAGCCACAGGGCACATGTAACCTACTTCCTGCACCTGAGAACAGTTATGAAGTGTCAGTTTTAATTTGTTTTACAATTTTACAGTTCTGCAATACATTTGAAGGAGACTTTTGGTTATTTTGACTAGTTACATTCATCCAACAGGAGCAGTTAAAAAAAAAAAATGAATACAACATAACTGATAACCAACACCCTAAAACTCAACTCCACATCACTCCTGTTTTAGCAGCATTGCACTGGCTACCAGTTAAGTCCAGGATTGATTTTTAAATACTTTTACTCACATACAAAGCGCTCAATGGTCAGGGACCATCCTACCTACAGGATATTTTAATCTCCTATTGCCCCTCTAGGGCATTAAGATCCCAGAGTGCAGGTCTGTTGGTGGTTCCCAGAGTCCACAAAAAAAGGTCAGGTGCTAGAGCTTTCGGCTACCAAGCCCCGTTCCTCTGGAATCAACTTCCAGTGACGATTAGGGAGGCAGACAGTGTCCACACATTTAAGAGTAGGTTAAAGACTTTCCTCTTTAGTACAGCGTACAGTTAAGACTGGTTTTAAACCCCCTTTTCTACATCCTCATGGAGCCTTCGTTTTATGGAATTGTATTTATTGTACTCTAACTGTATTTGTGTCATTGTGTTATGTTCCTTTTTAAATTACGTTTGTTATTTTTACATTGTTTTACATTGCCAATTGTGTTTGTTGACTTGTGAAGCCCTCTGAGACAAATAGGATTTGTGATTTTGGGCTATATAAATAAACTTGAATTGAACTCCCCTTGAATGGCAAACATGTCAGTTTTGATTCCGATTACAGAATTGCTCAAGCTGCAAATGTATTTGTATGGCTTTTCTGTGGTTTGAAACCAATTCCATAAAGAAGGCTCTACAAATTAAGTATACAAGTAAATTGTTGCATTGTTGGAAGAGCCAAGTTCCTTCTTAAAAAGGGCACTATTTTGCTTTGGGGGGTTTTCCCTTTTCCTCCCTTTCCACACTCCCCCCTGCCTGAAACACCTCCATTGGACTCCTTTGTTAACTTCTGTAACATAGTGACATCACTATAACTCGCTCTTCTATTGGCTAGCGCTCCAACATATTGTACATGGTTAAGGGGCGGGACATCTCTAAGCGGTTGACCAATCACAACAGAGCCAGCCAGCTAACCAATCAGAGCAGACTGGGCTCTGGTTTCAGACAGAGGGTGAAAAGAGGTGCTGCAGCACAGGCAGTATGAGAAAAATGAAGAGCTTTTTGAACATTAAAGCATGGAGACATGTCACAATAGAGGCACTAAATACAAATATGAACCTGAAAATGAGCAAAATAGAGCACCTTTATATCTTAAATCTTCCATAGACCTGGAGGAAACAAATGACTGTTCTAGGTTGATCATGGTCATCTGAACCATGATTGCTAGTTCTCCTCAGGGATTTGAGCCCTTTTCTCACCACTACAGAGACCACAGGAAGGCTGTCAGATGACTGAGATTTCTTTATAATTATGCTGACTGTGTTAGAATGTAACTAAGCACGTGTAAAGTGTTCCCTTATGTGCTTAAAAAATACTTAATTTCTTAGGCTAAAAAATATATAGATTATGATACATTGCTGTATATTAAACTACACAATAGTATATTAAAAATAAAAAAAACAACCTTTAACATTTGTAGCAGTAAAATACAAAATATACATTAATGCAGCATTTATAATAACCAGTGATGTTAAGTAAACTTTACTCAAGTACTGTGCTTAAGTACAATTTTAAGGGATTTGTAATTTCCTTAAGTATTTCGATTTTATGCAACTTAGTACTTCTATCCCACTACAATTTAGAGGTAAATCGTGTACTTTTACTCCACTACATTTATTGAATACTTTTAGTTAAAGGTGGGGTAGGTAAGTTTGAGAAACCAGCTCGAGGTACACTTTTTGTTATATTCCATGGAATGCTCTTAACATCCCGATAGCAATGAATATCTTAAGTGCTTTGACAAAAAATCCATAACAACATTTCATCTGTGGAAGCCGTAATACTGTAAAAAGCACGACCAATCATTTTAGCCGGCCCGGCTAAAATAACTGGATGGCCTGCCTGCCTGTCAGCCTTCCATCTGTGCACAAACTTATCTCGTGCCCTCATTGGTCACGTGCGCGTTTGTGTGTGTTGGAGGAGGGGCTCTGTAAGGAAGTGGCAGATTTTTTCCGGTTGTGTATTTTCAAATTCCAGCGCACTCGAGCTGGTTTCTCCAAAATCACCTACCCCACCTTTAATTTGCAGATTTGGATTAATGATGTGAAATATAATAAACACTTAAATAAGACTTTAGTTACACCTGAGTAGAAGTCAACAGCTACCCTGCAGTATACAAAGTCATTCAAACTAGCTGCACCTTTACCAGCTTCGAGAACACTTTAATGCATCAATAATTAAAATCAAAATATATATTATTATGAAATGGGCCGATCTGCATATTGAGTACTTCTACTTTGTGTACTTTAAGTATATTTTGATTGCAGGACATTTGACTCAAATCACGGATGCAAACTTGTCACCTCTCGGCGAAATTCGCCGTTTTGAATCCAAAATAGGTTGTTTGTGTGATTCATGTAGATCTGCAATAAAAATATTTTTGGGGTATGGGGGGGGTCTGGGACCCGGAGTAATCTGCGGCCGCGAGCTGTTATGTGCCATCATGACACGCATGGTGTTATTTTTTTATATATTATAATGAAGCGCGAGCTGTGTGCTCGAGTCTTTCTGCTTGTCGGCTCTGCTCATGGATGTATAATAAAAGGCTCTGCTGCTCCGGGATGATGGTCTAGCTTCAGCAGCTACATTACCTACGGGTGCGTTCGTTAATATTAACTGTGTGGTCCGGAGTCACTGTGGCACAGACTGGACCGCTGGTGAACAGGTGTTAGAACGGGCCGTTCAGGTGTTCAGAGCAGAGCTCCCTGTCGGAGCGGCAGAGCGTGATGTGCACTGAAAAGTTTTTCTGTCGCAATATTATCGTTGAGCTAGCTAACTAGCATACATTGTCACTATCTGCTAACGTTAGCTTTAGCCTTCGTTTTCTAATAGTTTTTTTCATAGGCTATAAACGGAGGTGGTATAAGTATATATCTTGTACTTGAGTAAAAGTAGAAGCACTCAGATATTGTACTAGAGTAAAAGTAGAAGTACTCAGGTCTTGTACTTGAGTAAAAGTAGAAGTACTCAGGTCTTGTACTTGAGTAAAAGTAGAAGTACTCAGGTCTTGTACTTGAGTAAAAGTAGAAGTACTCAGGTCTTGTACTTGAGTAAAAGTAGAAGTACTCAGGTCTTGTACTTGAGTAAAAGTAGAAGTACTCAGGTCTTGTACTTGAGTAAAAGTAGAAGTAGAAGTCCTGCATTCAAAATGTTCCTCAAGTAAAAGTAGAAAAGTATTCTTATCAAAATATAGTTAAAGTAGCGACAGTAAAAGTAGTCGTTGTGCAGATTGGTCCATTTCAGAATAATATATATGATATGTTTTATAATGATTGATCATGAAAGTGTTCTCAAAGCTGGTAAAGGTGCAGCTAGTTTGAATGACTTTGTATACTGCAGGGTAGCTTGTGAATTTACTCCAGGTGGAACTAAAGTCTGATTTAACACTTGATTATATTTCACATCATTCATCCACATCTGTAGAGTAACTAAAGGTATTAAATACATGTAGTGGAGTAGAAGTACACCATTTACCTCTGAACTGTGGTGAAGTAGAAGAACAAAGTAGCAACACATTGAAATACTTAAATAAAGTACAAGTATCTCAAAATTGTACCCAAGTATAGTACTTGTTGAGTTTATGAACTTAGTTACTTTACACCACTGGCTATAAAGATAGAAAGACTAAGCCTTACACAGAGGCATGCAAATACATTTTCAAAATGCTCAACAGTGCTGCCAAAATTATAAACTGACTGCTACACAATTCAAATAAATGCTTTTATACATTTCTATTAGATGTGGCTCTTTGGCGTTTCTGTTATTATTAACTGCTTTAGTTGTTCTGACTGCTAAAATCCTCTGTTATTCCTCACTTTAAAGCCGATATTCCGTGGGGTCGGGGGGCTCGGATCCTTGTCACCTTTTTCATACCTGATGAGTTTGCATCCCTGCAAATACAAGATCTGAGTACTTCTTCCACCTCTGATGATAACAAATAAACATATCGTAAAATACTGACAGGGACCACTGTCAATAAATAGCTTTGATCCTTTATGTAGGCTGCATTCTGCTGATACATACTGACTTAAATCATGTTTTGAATGCAGGGCTTTTCCTCCTATTAGTATGTTGACAGAGTGGCATTATTGTCAAGTAAATTATCTGATTGCTCCTTCCCCATCAAAAACAGGAATGATTTTAAGGGGTGCATAAAACACTAACCTAACCTAAGTTATACTATGCTTTGAATGGAGGATTACCCATTGAAAGCTTTTCCTATATCTCGCCTTTAGACCCACAAGTTTGCCCTCGCACTATTTTTGATTTGTATTTTCACAATAGTAAAACACCGAATGATGGATACAAGTGAATGAGCAAGATAATTGTAGTCTTTCTTTAGCTACCTTAGGTTAGCTTCTATAGCAAGTCTTGACTCAACCACGCTCCACTATTGGTAAGCTAACCAAGTGCGAGAAACCTCTGATATTTGAATCTACGTCTCACGGTCAATAGTGAGCCGGTTACAGTTAGCTAGCTAAGGAAGAGCCAGGTAACACTAGCCGGTTTCTTCCTATTAGCCGTGACAATTAGCTTACCCGGTGATGCTGTTGAGGGCAGAAAACCGCTTGACGTCCACTCCTCTCTTGGCTCTGACAAGACCAGAGGTGTCACACAAACATACACGGGTAAATAAAATGTCTCTTGGTACGTTCACTCATTCACAGACGGACAGATTTTTCCTCCCATTCAATCACATCTCAGCAGCAGCAGCGTGGAGGATGTGGGGGTCATGCTCGCTGGTGACGTCGACACCTCGTCCTCCAAACGGCTGTGTCTCCCTCTCCCGGCCGATAGCGAGTACTGCAAGACCACACGTTTTGATTGATTGATTGATTGAAAAGTTTATTAACAGCTTGTATATTGGGTACAGTACAGTACAGCTCAAAACATACAATTGTTAAGGGGATGCAGACCAGAGAAAGACTTTCGTCTTGTTTACATCAGGGTCCCCCATTTCCAATTCATCATATCATTTAAGACATATAAGACATATTTGACATACAGATGGCTTATTTACAATTTACATACAGGTGGTTTTTTACATACAGATGGCTTATTTACAATTTTCCTTTTAGATTTCGTTCTAATACATCCTAACCGGACATTTAAGACATACCAAGTCTACAGATATACAGTTAGTAACAGAGTCTAAAATGCGAGTATATACATAGATGGGGGGGGGGAAGCTGTCCATTGTACGACAGGTTGAGATTTGTACCATTACCGGGGCCAGTTTTGCAATGCTTTCCCCCGAAGGTGCTCTTTAAGAGAGGTTTTGAAGGTAAGTATAGTTTTACTTTCCTTTACAGTTGTGGGAAGAGCGTTCCACCTTGATGTGGCATAATTGCGAAACGTGTATTCCCCTTTTTTTGTGCCAAATCTGGGTTTTACATGATTTGTGGAGCTCCCTCTGGTGTTATGATCATGGTATTCCTTGACCTTTGGGAAGAATTTTGACATGTACATGGGTACCATAGAGGTGTAGTGGATCTTGTAGACCAGGCCCATTGCAAGTAGCTGTACTCTGTCATCTACTCTAAGCCATCCTAGGTTGTCAAAGTGGGCAGAGGTGAGGTGGGTTCTAGATGAAAGGTCAAGCAGTAGTCTGACCAGTTTATTTTGCGATGTTTTAAATAAGTCGCTTTCCATTGGGCATATTACAAATATAAAAACACATTTATTTTAAATATAATGTGTTATCATATTGAAAAACAGCACTTTAAACCTTTATACATGAAACAACCATAGTAGTTAACCATAGTTCGACAATGAAAATTATCCTTAAAGATGACAACATAAAAAGGAAACATAAACATACACTGTATAGGCTACAGACATAACCGTGAACAAGGGAGATGTATGCTATAACAAATACTGTACACAGTACACATTTTTAAATGTTTCCGATTATTTCAGGAGTCTTAATACGTTTTTTATTGTTTGCTAAGAGAAATGTTTTATTGAGAAATGTACAAAGTCTAGACCTACTTGTGGTTGGCTTGGATATACTCAGTGCCACCACGTATGCGGATACTTGTCACTGTATACAAGTCTAACCCATGGTTTTATCATATTAATCTTAGAAGTATTATATAAGTGGTGAGAAAGAACATCGTGTGCAGAAACCATGCGATGTATAAATGTAGTAACTTTTAACAAACGATGGGCTCGTCCGGGATTTGAACCCGGGACCTCTCGCACCCAAAGCGAGAATCATACCCCTAGACCAACGAGCCACACTTTTACAAGAAGATGTTTGCGTTCAGAAAGTAAAACTGTTTAAATTGTTAAAGGTATTGAGGCTTTCTAGCAATTGAATGGCATTACACATATTTCCAAGTACAGCCTTAGGTAGTGCAATTGTAGCTTACTACTACATTTTCCTTTTAATCAAATATTGCAAATAATTATCTGTTTTCAAACGAACGATTTCAATCTAAGATAAATTATTATTTACTATGCTAGCTCGTATTGAATGGTGGGACAGAGCAGTAGGACCAAATGCAACCACTGTTACAAATCAATAATATATTAGCTAATATTAGTGGTTTTTGTATAATTAATTTGCTAAAAAATATTACATTATTAGTTGTTTTCTTTTTTTCATATTGATATGTTTACCTCTGCCAAGGAGGTTATGTCGTACGGTTGTTTGTTGATTTATTTGTCAGCAGGATTGTGGAAAAACTTAAATTCAACCTGATTTCCTGTCTTTTTGAATTCTCAAAATAAAGTTATGTCTAAAAACCCTGCAAGCTGAAAAGTGTTTGTTACATTAATCTTGTTGACATTAAATAAAGAATTTTGTGTGTGTGCGCGAGGAGGGCCGGCCCTAGGCACTGGCGAACTAGCCGCTCGCCTAGGGCGCCAGATCTGGAGGGGCGCTGCGCTGGGAGAAAAAGAACAATAATAAAAAAATAAAAATAATAATAATTTTTAATTTTTATTCTGCCTAATTTTCTGCCCTTGATGTAATACATTTACATTAATAGTTGAATAAAGTAAACACCCTTTGCACCCCGGGCCGGAAACATTTTGCATTTGCCCTGTACGATGGGCGCTGTAAGTGATGAAAGTGGGGGATGTTGACTTATCAGGCGCCCGCAGCTCACAGCCAAAGTGCGAGCGAGCCTCCGAGCGAGCAAGAGAGATCTCTAGAGAGAGGGTGCGCATGCATCGGTACCGCAGATTGTTGTTGGATTGAGGCTGCTAGTAACTACAGCTCAGTGAGGTAAAGGACTCTGAGTGTTTAGATAGTTCACTTTAGTCTAAAGGCCGCTACACACCCACCTGAGACCAAATAACGCGTACCGAAGGCGTACCGAAGGCGTCCCGACTTTTACGTCAGCTTCGTCGCCTGCGTCGGCTACGCCGCCCGCTACGCTGCCCGCCTGCGAACACACCGCAAATACTTCAGTCGACGAGTGGCAATAACTGTCCTTACCAGCAGGCAGCGGTAGTGTGAACAGCCAATCAGAGTGATTGCTTGGGCCGACTTTCTCTGACCTCCCGAGGCATCGGGAGGTGTGAAAAGGTGCCGTAAAGAGACGACGGTGCGGGACACACCAACCTGAGTAGGGCGCCGCGAATGCCCGACTGCCTCTGACGGCCTCTGACTCCCAAAATCGGGTTGGTGTGTTGCCAACAAATATTTCCAAGGCACACCTTTATAATTATTAGGATAACTAAAAACAGGTTTGAAATCATTCCAATGTATACTATAGGACAGTAACCAAAAATATCGTTTAAAACTGGAGATATGAAAAAATATGCATGAATAAATAAATGTTAACTAGGTAAAATAAGATATGAATGAACAACAAATAATAAAATACGTTATATTTATTTTTTATTGGCTATGGTAGGTTATTGGTTATGTTCACATACTTATTTGGTTATTAAAATATAAACCGATCTTTTTCATATGGGTGTTTAGAGTTGTACCCCCTAGAGATCTAGTCTCTAGTAATTCTGCTCAAAGTGCACCAGATTGGGGGGGGGCACCAAATCATAATCTCGCCTAGGGCACCAAAATGTCTAGGGCCGGCCCTGTGCGCGAGCGAGAGAGAGAGAGAGAGCGCACCGGTACCGGAGATCGTTGTTGTTAGCTTCTGGTGCTAGCGAGCTAGTTGCCGGGTCTCAAACGTTTTGGTCACAATTATTATTATTATTAATGTAAACAATTATTTCCGAGGCACACGTTTATATGACCATTATAGTTGTAAAAAAATAAGGGAATACATGAAAAACAGGTATGAAACACTATATGACAGTAAAAAAAGAATAAAGTTTAAAAGGTGAGTGATTTGTAAAATATCCATAAAGAAAGAGTAAATCTGTTTACAGTTCTGTTTCATATGGGTGTTGGGTTAGGGTTAGAGATGTATCCATAGATCTCTTCATTTTGCTCTCAAAGTGCACCAGATTGATGCTTTTAACTTCAACATTTAAAAAGAAATCTTCCCGGGGGAGCATGCCCCCGGACCCGGGTACACTGTGTATTTGCGTGGGGAATGTTGCAGTAGAAAATTCCACTGTAGCGACCGGTACATTAATGGGAAACCCTAAATGTTTGAGCACCCTCTATGAAACGTCAAGCTACCCCACAGCACCCCCAAAATAAATCTCTGGCGCCGCCACTGAGCCTGCAACCCCGTTTTGAAGAAATGTGCAGTGCAAAACAGGCTCATTGCAGCCACTAATGCTGTGATAAGACACACTTTCTTGCCACATATCAGCATTTTCTTTCTTTTCATTTTTTTGCATAGATTGCAAAGTGGCAAAGTATTATAACTTATTGTTCTAGCAAAGGGATTGCACAATTGTATTATGTATTTATTTTTTTGAGCACACAGACTTATGGAGCATTGTTTTATTATCACTGTTCTAGCAAAGGAATGCTCACGTTCATATTGATGTATTTTAATAAATGTTAACTTGGCCCATTACGTGACTAATTGTGTTGGGGGGGGCCCAACTTTTTTTTTTCTCCAAAGGGGGGGTGACAGAAAAGGTTTGAGAACCACTGCTCTACTGTGACATGTTTCCATGCTTTAATGTTCAAAAAGGTCTTAATTTTTCTCATTCTGCCTGTGCTGCAGCACCTCTTTTCACCCTCCGTCTGAAACCAGAGTCCAGTCTGCTCTGATTGGTTAGCTGGCCATCTCTGTTGTGATTGGTTAACCGCTTAGAAAAAAAGAAAAACCTAATCATCCAACTGGAACCTAAACCCGCATTAATCATGTGATGATACATTCTAGACTAAAGGTTATTTAGTAGCTGTATTGAAGCTTTTGACCATATCACATTTTCATCATCATCAGATTGATTTTGCTCAGTTCGAATTTCACAAATAAAACAACTTTTAAATAATACAAAACAATTAGTCCAGCAGTATTTCTCTTCTATAGTTTCACCACACATCACAAAGGCATTTTTTAAGTTACTCAATATTTGTACTGACAAGATAACTTAAAAACACTTCACTAAATGAACATGACATGTTGGTGGAAACAGGAGAAGAGAGCTTTTCTGATGCTCTTCAAAAATCAACTGACACCGCCCTTTCTCTCATTGCTCGTCACTTTGAGGACCTCTGAACAACCACAAAGAATCAGTAGTGTAGTAGTGTAATAAAAAAAATACAAACACATGAGACTATGAAGACATTTGACATGTGACCAACCTCGTTTGAGCTGCCCCGCCCTCCTCATCCTCAAGTTTCACAGACAAGCGTTCTGGATGAGCAAAAACTGTTTCCTCTAAAGGAGTCATGGCATTGAAAGCAACACTTTGGACGCTCTCGTTCTGTGAGGAAAGCTACGGTGTGACGCTCGGCTCAGCCTCTCTCATGTCTGTCCATTATCAGGTTTTCAGTGTTGGTGTGTTTGCTGACTTCAGTGTGCTGCTCCTCAGAGAATAATGGATGCTCCAGCACTTTAAAGGTCACCTATTATGCAAAATCCACGTTTTCATGTCTTTTATAAATAAACATGTGTCCCCTCTGTGTAAAGAGATTCTGAAACAGAGGGAATTATGGGACGCTACAATGCATGATCTGTTTGGTATTTCAGCCAAACACTTCAGAGACATGTTTTGTATATATCTGAGACCTGACAGATAGACAGACAGACAGACAGACACACAGACAAACAGCTACCTTATGTCTCCAGGTCTGCTGATCTAGCTCCCCTCACTGTTGAAGACGAGGCTGTTTTTTTTGTCTGCAGTTCAACAGGTAATCTGGAGGCTGACCCACCAAGTCCATAATGTGTTTCAGCGCATCATACTCGTGTTCTGCGGGGGGGAAAGCAAAGCCTGCAGCAATTCATGCAGAGACCCCATGTCTATATGCTCGCTGAAGTCCATTCCCAGGATGACCTCTGGTACCCTGAGAGAAGAGGAGAACTTCTTGTTCACTTTTGTTTCTTTTCCGGTAAAGAAACAGACTTCTAACGTTTGCAACAAAGCCACAGTTTCCATGCCACATGTTTTATTATCTCCAGTTCCCGTACCTAGCTATACCACAGACTCTGCACAGCTGTCCCTGGAACAGCCTCAGAAACGTGGCGAGCCAGGCCGAAGTCAATGAGCTTGACTTGCAGCGGCTGCTGACAGCGGTTCACGACCATGATGTTTCAGGCTTTAAGTCGGCATGCATGGTTTCCAGGGCCTTGAGATGGAGCAGGCTGTTCAGCTGAAGAAACACAAAGATTGAGATTCACTAGGATCACAACAATTAACATGTTTAACTTTTCCTATTACATGTTAAGTCTTTTAAGGATACTTCTGAATAAAGTAATAATTCCACATTGTAGGAGCCAATTAACACTGTTTGTATAGTCAAAGTCAACTTTAATGTCAATCTTCCAGTTTGTGTGTACAGACAGAGAGATCGAAATACTGTTTCCCACAATCCCGAATATAAAAACAATGTATATAGAATATAACATATTAAAATATGTGTCCAAATATGTATGTATATATTATACACAGTGAAGGACACATTTGTACATGTGCACACATTAAGACCTAAATAAAAACACAACAATCAATACAAAATAACAGTCACTTCAATATTTTGAGAATGTACATTAGTGCAGATTGTCCATTGAATGTGCAAAAATAAATATTAGTGCAAATTGTCCAGAATGTGCATTATTGCAATATTGTCCACAGCAGCGTAAAAAGTGTTTGGTGCTGGATTTGAGTGTCTGGGGGAGTTATAGTCCAGTGGGGGCAGGGGGGAGAGGGCGGAGAGAGGGGAGAGAGTTCAGCCTGCTGACAGCCTGGTGTAAAAAACTGTTCTTTAGTCGGGTGGTGCTCGACCTCAGGCTGCGGAACCTCCTCCCTGGAGGCAGGAGGGTGAAGAGGCAGGTGGAGGGATGGGTGGGGTCACCAGCGATGCTGAGTGCTCTGCGGGTGAGGCGGGTGTTGTACAGTAGATGTCCAGGAGTGATGGGAGTGAGGCACCGATGATCCTCTCATAAAGGTAGGAACCAATGTTTGTGGTTAGAGGTTCCGCCGGAAGGCCAAACACGGAGGACACACACACACACACACACACACACACACACACACACACACACACACACACACACACACACACACACACACACACACACACACACAAACACACAAACGGGATTACAAGCATTTGCTAAAGGTATTGTGTAAACCGTAATATTATGTATGGTGAATGAGAAAATAAGCAAGTTAAATGGACACCAGTACAAGGAAATAAATGGACTATATTTAACTGGAAACTTTGTATCGGACTTTTATTCACCTGGCAAACTTTGTGTGCGTCAATTACGCCAAGATAGTGGATCCTCAGAGGCTAAAGCGTTGGCTTAGCCTCTACACTACAGTTAGTCAAAAACTGTATGGCCTTCCGGCGGAACCTCTAACCACAAACATTGGTTCCTACCTTTATACCCACAGAGCCACAGTGTTCATTTGCTCCTACACACATACTTGATGTAAGACTGGGCAGATAGAATGAGCCATACCATTTGACCAGACTACATGTGTCTGCATCCAGAGTCTGCAGCTTTTGGAGAATTTGAATCTGTGGAAGACATCAAAAACGTGATTACTCCCATTTGCTGCCATCTTCAATACAAGGTTGTCGGGATCTCATTGCAAATATCTAAACCAGCATATTCCAGCTTTATAATAAGAGTTCGTACTCTCTCTTTCTCGCTCAAAGAAAAAGGGGTCATCTTTGGTTATCTTGATGGCCTTCTCGGTTACAACGTCCACACACATCGTCACCTTCCCAAAGCAGCCCTGCACATATTTGAGAAACACACTCTGAACATAAGTTTTGTAATTTCCAGATTGACATGGCTGAGAAATGAATAAGCAAAACACAAGTATTGAACAAAGAAATATTACTTTGATATGAGAAATGTTAGGACATTTCTGAGGTGATTTAGAAATAAATTAGCCTGTAATTATCAACAAAAACATTACCTTATTACCTTATTAAACCTGTTTTAACACACATTTCCCCCCAGAATAAAGTACTAATTTTGTACTTGAAAGAACAAAATATCAGGATAGACAATAGTTACCGTGTGTGATATGGTGGAGGGAGCTGGGCAGGAGTTAGCAGGTGAGGGGCTGTATTCCAAAAAAACATTAATGTGTGAAGTGAAGAATTAACAAAACGTATCCAAAAGCGTTTATTTCTCAAATGTTATTCTTTTAAAATAAAATGAGGACATGGCCTGGCCGGGAACAAAAAGCTTGGCAGTAGGCAGTCTGTTTCTTGTCGGGCGGTAATATATGTAACCTCATCCGGTGATTCAAAAGTTAGCTTGACGCTATCATTAGTTTGTGGTGTCTGTTTTACTGTCGTGATGCCTTCTGAAAATCTACGATGGGAAACATTACAGGCGTTAAAAAATTCACCAAAGGGAAATATCACTTTTGACCCGTACTGGTCGGAAAGGGGCGAGGTGAGTTGAAGTAATACTAAGATAAAATAGACATTAGCTGGCTGGCTAATGGCTAGTTAGTGTTAGCCGGACCAAGTTGTAGTGAGTTAGTTTCATAGCTTAACAAATGTATTTATTCATCTAATTTAAGTGATCCTTTAACCATATATACCAACAAAAACAATATGTAGTGAGGGCATTGCATTACCAAAGTAAAACCACCATTAAGACTAATATAAAGCAGGTGGAAGCACTTTCTCTTTTGATTTGAGTTAAAATAATACACCTAACAAATAGGATACCATAACCTACTCAAATAAAGAGACAAACGCAAGCATACTAAGAATATGACAAAATAAATAAATACATGTAATAGAATCCCTAAGCTAATTCAAATAATTAAGTTGACCGTATCGATATATATTATAAACCGGAATATACATATGATGATATACACCCACTCTTCCGCATTCCATGTTGTGTTGTTATACTTTGTAATGGTTTATAGCACGTTAGTTCCTACTCACTTACTTTGAATTTCAATATTGACTTTTACACAAACATTGTGTTTATAATGTGACGACAACTTTCAAACCCATCATATTTTTTAAAGATTTACATTTAAAATAAGTGATTGCTCATTGCCATTTTTAGATATTATTCCAACAAACTTGCAACTTATGGACAATTTAAAAAGTAAATTAAGTTATTTGACTATTGCATGGCCACACTAAGCCACTTTTTTCAATTTCAAACAAAGTTTAAAAACAATGTACAGCTAATATTTGTACATTTTAACCTTAAAGCAGGCTTTGTGAATGACGTACACCTGAGTTTGAATGTCTCTTATTTGTGTGTCTTTCAGCCCATTTTGTCAGGATGCAAAGAGCCCCTCAGCCTGTCCCCTCACTCGGGGGTCATCCTGGAGCGTCTCTGCGCCTTGCCCCTGCAGAAGGCCTCCTTCCTGGGCTCCAGCTCCGGAGACTCCAGCCCCGGCCTCTCTGAGGATATTTTCACCTCCCTTTCCTCCACTGGGTCCATCCCCGACCTCAACGCCAGGCGCACCCCGTCTCTGAAGACGGAGCGCGAGCAGGCGAGTCTGGCATCCCGAAAACACGCTGACCCAACCTGGTTTTAGCACCAATCTGTTTGGGAGTAGATTAAAGGACATGCAGTCAGTCAGTTTATTATATAGCCCAATATCACAAATGTACATTTGTCTCAGGGGGCTTTACAGTTTATACAGAATATTATTGTGAATACAACAGCAGAGAGCGAAAACTCGTCCACATTAATACATATATGGTTTAAATGTATTTATGGTGCTTTAAGATTGGCTACTGTCTGCTCAGTGTGCTTCTCTTTGTTTGCAGCAAGCAGGAAAGTAAACAGTTTTTTGAAGCACAGTGAAAATGTTGTTTATGAAAGGCTAAACGCAAAAAAAATATAGGTTGAAGCAGTATATTTGTTAAGATAAAAAAAAAAAAATCGTGAGGTTTAGAAATGATTACGTTTCACTTTTTGGAGTACATTTTGACTTTTCAGACTTTACAACGGTCAGGTCATGCAGCCATCACTGACATCTAAGTCTATAAATGTATAATACTAATCATTTTAATGTAGCCTAAGCACTTTCTAAAAGAAATACATTTTAAACAGATTGAATATATCTACGTATGTCTACGCTATGAATTACGCTTATAACCACTTAAATATTCAGTATGTATATATATTTGATCAAATCTACTGCACATTTCTCTTTTGTAGTATTATTTTTATTTGATTTAATTCATTATTATTCTATGTACTATTGCTTTTAGAAAGTAATAACGTTTGTTATCAGTTTGAGGTTTTCAAGACTTGGATTTTTTTGTTGTCAATTTCCCTTATTATTTTTAACTTAGCTGCACAAAGTTTATATACATTTCTGTGACTTGGTTTGATCTCTTAATTCCTCCCTCCTGTCTGTGCTGCAGGCTGTCAGTGATGAGGCTAGGGATGAAGATCCGGAGGAAGATGTCAGCGAGGTTTCCAGTCCCGCATCTCTACCTTCCATTTCCCTTCTGTCGCCTAAAGCCATGGAGACGGCAGGCCAAATTATCCGATTTGCAGCAGAACAGCAAGATAAAGCAAAGGTCAGACATAATAATATCACCTTCGCTTGTAGTGTGTTATACATGTTTTTGTGCATGTCAAATGAAATCCCAAAGTTCACACCACAACTCATTTGATCCAAAATTAATAATAATGTTTATGATGAACGATTAGTGGTTTATCCCATTAAACCCAAAATAAGTTTTAGGATTTTTTGTCTCATTCTACTCACTGTAGCCTTGTTTATCACTGCTACAAAACACTTTATGGAAACATCACTAACATGGTTATTATTAGTAAAAATTACTAGTTACTTCAAATGACAGTTATAATCAACAGGTTGAAATTCTTTAATACTATCATTTTAAAGAATGAATACAATATATATTCGAGTTTCCTCAAGTTTGACCGATATTGGAAAACATTTAGACTCCACATGATTTACATATTGATTGAGATTTCAGCTTCTTTAGCCTGCAGTCAAGTCAAACATTCGTTGCTTTCCAGTTACGACGAGGAGCATGACATTGAATATGTTGACAACAATTGGTCAATGCATTTGGGTTATTTTTGGTAACATTTTGAAACAAAATGTTGAACCGAGCCATGTTGGTTTTTAAAAAGCTGACTTTTCAAAATGAGGTGGAGCACTTTTGAGTGAGAGATGAAGAACAAAGTGATTTTTGATGGTATAACACTATTTTAAGCCATTTTTACAGTATGATAAATGGTTTTATTATGGCAAAAACATACCTTTCAAACACATTAAATCAGCACATCCAAGGGATTGTGGGTATCAGAGGGTTAAAGAAAAAAATAACAAATGTTTTATAAAAAGAGACTTGTCTTAACAATTAGTTTACTACAGGGGTAGGCAAGTAAGTTTGGCCGTGGGCCAATTTTTTGCTGAGCCACAAGATGGCGGGCCAGAACATAATCGAAGCCTAATTCAAGGAATTGATTTTGGTAAGAGGGCGCAGCGCCCCTGTTCCCCGGTTCAGAAAAAACTCTGATATCGCTGATAACCCTCCCCATCAACACTCTGATGCGCAGTCAGATCCGCTGATTGGTTCACTGATGATATAGGCGCCCAATCCAGAGCCTCTGGATAGACCCGCCCAAAGGGAGGCTCGTCGTCTCTAGCCCCATTTCAGTCCCATGTTAAAAGTCAGGGCTATTATCTGTATTTTAACAGACTTATCTTTTAAATTGAGGTGTATTTATTGTTCTCTTCAAAGTTTATTTTTTTCTGAAATTTTAGGGAGGATGGTCCTCCCTTTCTTCAATGGACGAGCCTCCACTGAGTGAGTTATTAACTAGGTAGCAGTGTTATTTAACATACTTTTATTCTGATAAGTATTGTCAAGTTCTCTGGGTTTTTGGCATTTATTTGAGTGTTTGCCCACATTTGAGAGGCTTGAGGGGCAACAGAGGACGCATGGACAACTGGAATCCTTTTTCCTTTTCTTTATTTCAACTTTTCAAGGACACATTAGGATTCTTTCAGGTTGAAAACCTTTAAAAAATACAAAATAAATAAATTACAGCATGTTTTGCTTTGCAATTTATTTAATATATTATAACCTAAATTAATCAGTAACCAAGTATTTTACTCAAACTCAATGTATTTAATAGTTAAAGGGGACCTATCATGCAAAATGCACTTTTGTACGTCTTGTATACATGAATATGTGTCCCCGGTGTTCCAGGGAACTCACCAAGTGTCAGAAAACACAACCCTCTCTATTTTCCTCCATACCCAAATCTCTAAAAAAGGGGCTGCAACGGATCTGATAAAAACTGATCCAGATTTGAACACTGTCCTGACGTCAGGACGGTGGCGCTACGGCTATTGGGCCAACTCTCCACCTATCAGGGGAATGTGGGGTTGGGCCACGGCCGGCCATTGCCGCTCGAAAGCGCTGGAGACGCTGTAGTACATATGCCAGGCCTGTAAGTGGCGCTGTAGTCTGCCACAAAAGCAGCGAAGAAGACTTCCCGCGCATGGTTGCCATGGTTACCCTTCTGTTTATTCTCCGCTGTGGCTTTTGTTCTCCCTCCCCGAGGCAAGCACTGTAATTCTCTCCGGTTAGTCCACCAGCAGATGACAAACACCCACCTCTCCGTCTCTTCCAAGGAACGAGGGGACCGTGCGGCAGAGTTTCAGTTAGGTTTTCTTTCGCCGGTCAAGATGTCCGTTAAAGTTTAAATCTTCCGGACAAAATTAGAAAAGTGCCGGTCAAAGGTCTTCTTTGTTATTTATTGAGCTTTAAAACAAATGAATAACAACTCTATATAATAATATAAGAATAAAACACGGAGGACGGAGATTTCTTTTTCTCCCCCTCTTCTGACTTGATCAGAGCACGCTCCCCTCTCCTGCAGGGGGGCGTGGTCAGCTGCAGCTCACAGAATCAGCCCCCTGCAAAAACAGGGCTGGAGAACAGCAAATAGAGTGAAATGAGGCATGGCTAAAATGCATGATCTGTTTGGTATTTTGAAAACAGAAACGTATAAATATACCTTATATAGGTATGGCCCTACAATATATAATTTAAATATAGCATGATAGGTGTCCTTTAAATAAGTACTTTAATTGACGTCAGTGCACCCCGCTGCCTGATTGTGCCTGTGCTGTATGTCATTCATTCTCAACATAGATAAAAGTACAATAAGCATTCTTCAGGTGTAGGTAGATTCTCTATTCGGACATTATAGCCTATATGTGCGACTGTCGGTCCGATGTTGTAAAAAAAAAAAAAAAAAAAAAATCTCAAAATATTTTTTTATTTTTTATTCTCAAAATTACGGGCCAAATATTATTGCTGGCGGGCCAACAATGGCCCGCGGGCCGCCTGTTGCCGACCCATGGTTTACTACTTGGAAAAAAATATTTATTTTTCAACATGACCTATTTTCTTTGTCATTTTATTGTAATTGAGTTTTTTTCCTTTTTCTGGCTTGATATACTTATTAGTTTATCGAGATTGAATGTTTGTTTATCGTTTCTTTTTCTTTTTAACTGAAATGTATGATTTTTAGAAATAAACCAATTTGAAGGCTCATTAGTCAAGGACTTCATTCTTCCTTCGCACCAAACCAATATATATGTAATCTGTTAACTATAAGGCAAAATAACCGTCACACATAGACAGGAAGCTCTGTGATCTCACCTGATGGATGTCTTGACCCTCAGATGGCGCTGAGGCTGCGGCAGGAGATGCAGGAGAAGCTGGTGGCGGAGGTGGCGGAGGTGGCCAGTGAGCAGCTGAAGCGTTTCGAGGAGTTCATGGAGCTGAAGCAGAGGCAGGAGTTCCAGAGCATGAGGGACATGCTGAACAGAGAGTAAGGTCGCATTCACACCTAATAGTCCGTTTCTCTAGTACGCACCAGACGATAGTTTGTTACATTGTTTCATTTTTCAGAAGGTTCGGTTTGTGTTCACACGGGCAAAACTCAAACGGACTATAAACTTTAAACACAAGTCATGTGCTCGGAAATGCTGTTCAATAATTGGTCAGACATTAAGGGGTGAAAATGCAAATCCCGGCAATTTCTACCGGAGCCTCCGCCATGGAGCATTGGCAGGTTATTTTCATGCTGTTGTTAATCTGGAGAGCATATCAACAGCAACGGCGCATATGATTATATTATCAGACAACGTGCGATAAAAAACATTATAACACATATAATGAGAGACGTTCTGCAGTAAGGAGGGGGTTTCACCGACGGCAGGTGGCTCTGACTTTTATGTATAGTTTTTAGTTTGATAGTTGTTTTTACTTTCCACGTCACTGTTCAACACTTCATTCTGCTTCACTCTTTCGCTAACGATTTTGAAGACACCCGCGTTCTTATGACACGTAAATACTACGCTTCCTATGTTTTGGAGCGGACTGCGTTCATACCAGCGATGAACCGCTCCAGAGTTCACTAGCAAGCGGTCCGAGAACACGTATTTTAGCGGACCAGAGTCCGGTTGTTTAGTTCACTTAAGAGGTCTCGGACTGCGTTCACACCGACCCAAACTAACCACACCAAGCGGTTAAACGCACCAGGGTTTGATTCAACCGGACTATAAAAGGCTGGTGTGAATGCGACCTTGAGTCTAAGTGGAAATAGAAAGGATATACAGCTCTGGAAAAGAGACCACTGCAAAATGATCAGTTTCTCTGGTTTAACTATTTATAGGTATGTGTTTGAGTAGACATTTACGTTTTTATTTTCTTCTATAAACTACTGACAACATTGTTCTGTGTTGGAATTCAACCGACACTGGAATGGAATGGCTGCCATACATGTAGAGATTGAGATTTAAGAAAACACTTGAGTGGTCTCTTAATTACTTCAGCATTTGTATTGCAAACTTGTTATGCAAATAAGTCAACCAAGATTAGTTAGAACATGTTTTCAACTTGAATTGACTGCATTTATTTGAAAATTGGCCGTATTAACACTGAAACAACAATGAATACTGTGTAATATATGGTTACATGTATATATTTTAGAAGTACAATGTAAGACGAGCACAAGTTTCATGTGTGGGCCATATTCCATTATACTTTAATAATTTGCTGTGGGCCGCAAAACAGAACATAGGCCACAGTTGGCCCCTGGGCCATAGTTTGGACACCCCTGCCCTAAATTATGTTTAACACAGAATAGAATCAAATGAAAATGTGTATTCAGCTCGCCATTTTCTTGAACGTTTTTTTCAATGCGATTAAAACGGGTCTGGGTTTCCACTTCCTGCAGAACTAAAGAGAGCATCGGGCGTCAAGAGAAGCTGAAGGAAGAGCAGCGACACAGATTGAAGGTATGATCATCAGCTACAGGAAGGCATGTTGTTATAAAGGTCTGGAATCACCATGACGTTAAGGGGCTTTTTTTCAAGCATCTTATAGCAGAAAATCAGCCCTACCTGTCCAAAATGCATTCATACTTTTTGCCTAAAAGGGAGTTTTTCTTATACTACATTGAGCCTTGGGTAAATGGAACTGATGTTTTGTCTATGTATGTCATGATATTTTATTTCTTGGGATAACAAAGTTTTCTCGTGCCAAAAGACTCAATGTAGTATGATAAGAAAATGAATTTATCTCAGAAACTACTAGAAGCACAATCAAGTTAAATACAAAGATATGCACATAAGCAGCGTAAACAATGAATGAAATACTTTTTGAATAAACACAAAAATATCATTATCTTTTTTTAATTATTTTTAATTGCACATTTTAGCTACATAAATACCTGATGTTCTCCTCCAGGTTTGCATGTTTTCAACAGTATTAATAATAAGTGTTTCGGAGAGAAACTCCCTCTAGAGGGAACGTTGGGATTTAAAGGGGACCTATCATGCAAAATGCACTTTTGCACGTCTTTTATACATGAATATGTGTTCCAGGGAACTCACCAAGTGTCAGAAAACAAAACCCTCTCTATTTTCCTCCATACCCAAATCTCTAAAAAAGGGGCTGCAACGGATCTGATAAAAACTGATCCAGATTTGAACACTGTCAGGACGGTGGCGCTACGGCTATTGGGCCAACTCTCCACCTATCAGGGGAATGTGGGGTTGGGCCACGGCCGGCCATTGCCGCTCGAAAGCGCTGGAGACGCTGTAGTACATATGCCAGGCCTGTAAGTGGCACTGTAGTCTGCCACAAAAGCAGCGAAGAAGACTTCCCGCGCATAGTTACCATGGTTACCCTTCTGTTTATTCTCCGCTGTGGCTTTTTTTCTCCCTCCCCGAGGCAAGTGTTTGCTCCCGCTGCTTTAATTCAATGCAATCCCTCCCCGTCGAGGCAAGCACTGTAATTCTCTCCGGTTAGTCCACCAGCAGATGACAAACACCCACCTCTCCGCCTCTTCCAAGGAACGAGGGGACCGTGCGGCAGAGTTTCAGTTAGGTTTTCTTTCGCCGGTCAAGATGTCCGTTAAAGTTTAAATCTTCCGGACAAAATTAGAAAAGTGCCGGTCAAAGGTCTTCTTTGTTATTTATTGAGCTTTAAAACAAATGAATAACGACTCTATAGGCCTATAATAATATAATAAAACACGGAGGACGGAGATCTATTTTTCTCCCCCTACCTTATATAGGTATGGCCCTACAATATATAATTTAAATATAGCATGATAGGTCCACTTTAAGTCTTTGTAGACCCTTTACATGCACAAAAACCTTTATAACACACTACAGGAAAAGGAAAACGCCCCAAAAGCATAATAGGGCCTCTTTAAAGTGAATTTGAGGTGTGTTTCTCCAGAATGCTAAGCAACAGTTAAACCCATGTTTACTTCAAGAGCCAATAAACTAAGACACATTCAGATTGTTAATATTCTCCCAACCTCTGTGAGCAGTTTTGTTCAAACACATCTTCTGTCCTCTGCTTCAGATCCTCAACCTGCGCCTGAGGGAGGCGGAGCAGCAGCGCCTGCGGGAGGCGGAGCATGAGCGGCTGCGGCAGAGCGACGGCAGGGAGCGGCTGCGGAACCTCAACACCATCCAGGAGGAGATCCTGCAGCTCAACCAGCTGCTGGAGCCCTCCACCCAGACCAGGAGCGACCTCCCCCCCGCCAGCCTCAGCTGCTTCTCCACCCGCGGGAACCAGCTGTGCTCCCAGCTGTCGGAGGTGGTGCGCAAGACGGCAGAGGTCAGTTTCACTCCGGATTATTGGGTCCTTTCATACACTGAGAAGGAGGAAAGATTAATAACTGTTCTGTTAAAGGATATGTTGTTTATTACAACTACATATATTTCATTTATCATTTCAATAATCATGAGTTAAAGCATCTTAAGTCTAAGTCATGTAATAACATCAGACAGATTGGAAACAAACTTATTCATAAGAGAAAATAAAAGTAAAATATTACATCCTTCACAGTTTTCTTCCCTCAACTATTCTACTCACTTGTAACTTCTTATTTTTTGTGTATATGTTTTCAAAGAGTTATGTTATGCTGCTTTTCAGGTTCTTATTTGTATGTTGTGCCTCTACTGTGACATGTTAACATGCTTTAATGTTCAAAAAGCTCTTTATTTTTCTTAAGCAGTAAACAACAGAGTACAATGGAGGCATTTCTGGCAGGGGGGGGGGAGTGTGGGGGAGAAACTCCCTCTGGAGGGAACACATGGATTTTAGATTTTGCAGACCATTTACATGTACAAAAACAGGAAAGGGAAAAACCACAACATTTTTCTGGCAGCACAAGACAACCCCATCAAACAGCTATTATATTCAAATATATATTTATTTTACCATAAAATATAAAACATAGAAATGTGTCAAATATCTTCAAATCTCTTTGTATCCAGTCGAGCATTACTGGTATCAATGCAAAGCTGCATCGCAAATCTCAACTTCTCCAAATGTATTGAACGTGGCGCTTGGGAAACTATAAAACGATCCACAAAATATCTGGAAGTTCGATGATAATGTGTTTTCTGAATATTTTATATATTGACACATATTGTTATTTTTTGTATAGCCTCTATAAGGTTTCCCAGTGCAACATGAAACCCTACTCAGCTTTGAGAATCTCTGAATGCACTCTGAATATCTTCTCTCCTGTGTGTCTCCAGGGAGAGTTTCCCAGCGTGGAGGACATGACCATGTCGGAGCGAGCGCTGCACGAGATGAGGGCGCTGATCCGGCTGATGCAGGAGGAGGTGGCCAAGGCTCAAGAGAAGAAGAAGAAGGAGCAGGACGAAGAAGAGCAGGGCAGGAAGCAGGTGGAGCTGCAGGCGCAGCAGGAAGCGCAGAAGAAGGCGGTGGAGACAGCCAAAGAGAAGGCGAAGAGGAAAGGTGAGTCGGGTTTATCTCTATAGAGCCACACAATTCTCGTCGAATACGCATACAGGAGTTGCCGGAGTATTGAACAGAAAATATAACGAACAAATAAATAATACACAGCGTACGGACAAATCAGAAATAAGCGCACTGGCAATAAGATGAGAAGCATTTTATTGATCCCAATTTGGGAAATGTTTGCGTTGCAGCAGCGCAAAAAGACATGGCAAAATGAACATTCCAAAATGTAAACATCTCAATAGAAGAAAATACACATGCTGAATTACACATTGACAGTAACAAAATATAAAGCAGGATATTATATATACATAAGTATGTGAGGAATGGAATATTAGATTGAATATAAATGTAAAATGTATGGCAATGCAACCAAATGGATTTCACTTTTTTTCCATGCGACTAATAGATAGATTTTATTGATAGATTTAGAAATAGATCTTTTGGGCCGAATGACGTTGGGTTGGCTATTGGGGGACCTCCTTTTGATGACTACTTATGGAATGGTAAATGCCAGTGTAAAGATCAGAGTGAATGATTGTAATAAAGATGGTGGTTGTGGTGCAGGTCTGCAGAACAGCGCTGAGGAGAGCACCCTGAAGTGGTTCAGGGAGCTGCAGGAGGCTGCTGCTCGCTGCCAGGAGGCCCTGCAGCAGCTCAACTGCCCCAAGGACGCCCAGGTGACTTTAGGCTTCAATAACATCATCTTTCATTTCATTTCATTTCAAACCTTTATTTATCCAGGTTGTATCCCATTGAGATCATTGATCTCTTTTTCAAGGGAGACCAGCTATCTTTCATTTCATTTATACTTCACCTTCCATTCTCAAAGATTAAAAAAGAGAAGAGCATGCATATATATATATATATATATATATATATATATATATATATATATACACACATATATATACACACACACACACACACACACACACACAGCTCTAGAAAAAGATGTGCTATATTTGCAATATTATCAGTTTATCTAGTTTTTATTAGGTTTATACTATTAATTGACAACATTTCTCCCAAGTTTTTAATTCAATTTAGAAAATGAAAACTGGTCCAAAATCCCAAAATATGTATTGGTTTTAGAGCTCAAATATTGCAAAGAAAACAAGTGACTAAAACAAATACTAATGTTTTAAGCAATACATGAATATTTGGTGGACTAACCCAGATTGACTCAGCAGTCATATTGCTGCTGGCTGACTTTATGCCACTCTGCTTTGTTGATGGCTTGTGAGCATCGATCTTTATCTTGATATTTCTGGGCTTTTAAGAATAAAACAAAACATTAACACTTTTGCAGGGATTTTTTTATCAGAGTTTTTAATTGCACCTATGTACTCAAAATGCAGCTCGAAGCTTTACAAATGAAAGAAGAAAAGAGCAGCCAATTTAAAACAACAGCGTGAAAAAATTCAGCTTCACTGTTTGTACCATATATATACTTGTTTCTCTTGTGTGTGGATTCAGCTATACTTGAACGTTGCCTATAAAATTGAGTCTTTATATAGGAACTCATTTTTATTACATTACATGTTACTTGTTAGATGCTTTTATCCAAAGCGACTAACATACCCAATACTGTGGGCAATCCCCACAGGAGCAATTTGGGGTGAAGTGTCTTGCCCAGGGACACAACGACATGCTGACTGCAGTGGGGTTTGAACCTGTGCTCCCCTTATCCCAACACCTAGGCTCTATCCACTGTGCCACACGCCTCCCTATTAGTGCTGTCAAACGATTAAAAGATGTAATTGCTTTAATCACAATGATAATCAAGGATTGATCACAAGATTAAAATACTTGTATTTACTTGTATTTTGGGGGAAGATAAAACAAATTCATGTTGTGTTGTAATTAAGAAATGCATGACAAACTGGTGGGATAAATCAGAGGGTTTTTTACTTTATTATAATTTGATTTCTGAATTATTTGCATTAAGTACGACACTTTTCCGACACTTAGCTAAAGCATAGACAAACCTGCTGTCACAGAGAGCCGCTGTGATTCCCCTCTGTATAATGGTTGCTACACACACAGATGAATGATCTCTGCCGTTATCATACTGCGATCACTGTCTGTTCCTACAGTGGGGAACCTTTCCGCTATCTCCCACTCTTCAGGAAACTGGCGCATGCTTCAGCAAAATGCCTTTCCTCCATTTTAACCACACAAGTGCAGTTACCATTTGTCCTGGATTAGGTGTGCTGTTACAGCGAGGTAGTGATGGCTCTTACTGATGTCCAGTGGTCTCCAGTCAGTGCAATACATGGAGTGTGTGCCAGTTCCACCGCCTTCTATGCAATATTACTGCGGTTCTTTTCATTGTAAACATCCAAGATGGAAATACTGGAAAATGTTGTTGGTCAAACTTGGAAATGTGATAATTCTGCTGTCATTTTTGTAACGCGTTGACCGCACTAATTTATATATAAGTCAGTACTGTATTATCAAAGTTAATGAATCCGATATTTGATACCAACTTCCTGTACTTCAGTCTTAAAAACTCTAACAGACGGATTATGGGCGCAACCTAAAAAGTATTTTGGTTTAAATAAAGGTGGGATAATATATAAAATAACTGACTTTTATTCCGGTCTTATTCTATTGTATTTGTTTTATTTTTTCTTTCATTACCTTAATGACTGTTTTTAAATGCATTTATAATGTCACTTTATAAAGTGTTTCTGTTGCGGTTGCACTATATCTTAGTGTTGTAATGTGCTATATTATTAAACTGGCCTTGCCTTGCCTTCAATAACCAGCCAATATATGTTTGGATGTATTTTTTTAATGTTATGTTTAACTTGTGAACAAAACTCTTTAAACATTAGTTTTACGTCTCTTCTCAAAGACAAAGAAGCTGAAGCTGGAGCTCCAGAAGGCGGCCTCCATCCCCGTCAGTCAGATCTCCAGCAACTCTGGGTCGCAGCTCCGAGAAATCTTTGACAAGATCGACAAGCTGCTGTCGGGACGGGGGTTGGTGTCTGGGGGGAGGACCATCTCCACCTCCCAGCATCCCCAGGGCCTGGACTTTGTCAGTTACAAATTGGCAGAGAAGTTTGTGGTGAGTCTGTTAGATATTTATTATTCTATTATCCCAGAAGGAGGAGAGAAGATGTGTTATGCAACAAATGATGTACATTTAAAAAAGCAACTGATTTTCATACACAAACTACCATTATGTAGTTTGTTCTGAACAACTTCGGGTAATCTTAAACCAGCTTTAACTATATGATTTTTTTTTTTTTTAAAGGAAAGTCTTCAGCACACTCAAATACAAAACATCGACATCAGGGGTACATATATACAGAGTAAAACATATATAAAGAAAATACATTCCATGACATGTTACTTGTTAGACGCTTTTATCCAAAGTGACTTACATACTCAATACTGTGGGCAATCCCCACAGGAGCAATTTGGGGTGAAGTGTCTTGCCCAGGGACATGGGACGACATGCTGACTGCAGTGGGGTTTGAACCTGTGCCCACCTGATCCGAACACCAATGCACTAGTCCACTGCACCACACGCCTTAAATACAATGTCATCAAAATGTCTTCACAACTTTAAAAGTGTTAAATTCATCATTACATGTTTAAAATGTAAGTGGAAAAATATCATGAAATTCTCTGTTTTCTTTTTAATAGTTTTTAAGTACATTTTAAATGTATTTAAAAAGGAAAAAAGCATCCGATTGCATTATAATCTAGTCTAGCAACACTTGGTTAAATGGGCCCTATTGTGCTCATTTCAGGTTCATTTCGTGCTGGAGAGGAACGTGGAGATTTTAGTAATAGGGCCCGTATAATTAAGAGAAAATGTATCCCCAACTCTTGTCATAAGTGAAACCTTCTGTGTTTCAAGCTTCTTGGATGAATATTGTAATATTACTGCAAAGGAAATATGTTGGGACTTGTTATCTTTTGCTATTTAGACTTTTCAACGTGTACGAAATAAACAAGCTGAATGACCCCTTCTGAGATTGTGATTTTGTTTTTTCCTTCTCCGCCGCAGAAACAAGGAGAGGAGGAGGTGGCGTCTCACCACGAAGCCGCCTTCCCCATCGCTATGGTTGCCGCCGGCGTCTGGGAGCTGCACCCTAGGGTGGGGGATCTCATCCTCGCCCACCTGCACAAGAAATGTCCGTACGCCGTCCCACACTACCCTCCGATGAAAGAAGGCACAACTGTGGAGGATTACCAGAGGTCAGGGAGAAAGAAATGTTTTGATCCAAGTTGTTGTTGTTGTTGTTATTATTATTATTATTATTGTAATAGTAATATCATTAAAGCTTTCTTTGTATAGCAGTTTAAATACACAGGAGGCAGCTCTAAGTGGTTTAACATGAGGTAAACAGGAAATAAAACATTCAATTCAAGTCAAAGGGTAAAACCTATTGGCACACATGCAGCATCTGCACATGATACATATGATTCTACAGAATACAAGGAGGTACAATAAGCAAGAGGATACAATAAAAAATATAATCCGAAAGTTTAAAAAGGCATAAGACTAATGAATAAATACAGTAAAATGATTTAATAATATAAAAAATATCAAGTAAAGAAATAGAGAAAATATAATACAGTAAAATAATAAAAGCTATCGATGTATAAAACAATAATGACACAAAAAAAATCGATATAATCAATAGGAGGGGGTGTTGCAAATGATAAGATAAGAAAGAAAAATCTATAAAGAAATGTCTACTGAGTTTGCATCTCTAACATTACCTGTGAGGGTGTTTCAAAGTTTGGGGGCGTATTTCATTTTGGCGGGACTTTTTAGAAAATGTAAAAGAAGCTTGAGATTTAGGACCCTAGGGCTCACACGGAGACATGAAACGACATAGAATCAGTGAGATAAGAGTTCCAGAACATTAGGAGCTTTGTTTACCGGTAGAAGGAATTAAAACATTCTAAATGATACGGTAGCCGATGCAGACCTTTTTGAAGAGAACATTATGGGTTGTGTTCAATTAATCACAACAACAATCCTCCTTCAGGATTCTTGGTTACCGTGTGGACGACTCCGGGGTGGAAGGTCAGGACAGTTTTCTGAAGAGGATGTCCGGGATGATCCGTCTCTACGCCGCCCTCATCCAGCTGAGGTGGCCCTACGGCTCCAAGCAGGGGGTAAAACTAAAGCCCAATTTAAAAAAACGTTGTAAAGCTCCTACATCTTAAACATCTTTTATTAACTTTTGCCTTGCTGCTTTTCAGTCTGCTCCTCACGGTCTGAACCACGGCTGGCGTTGGTTGGCTCAGATGCTCAACATGGAGCCTCTGGCTGACATCACGGCCACGCTTCTGTTCGACTTTCTTGAGGTGAGTATTTTTTTTGTATTTGTTACATACATAAAGATCCCAATAGAGATTATTCAGCGTAATTATAGTTCCAATAATGATTTAGAATATGACATATTTACTTGAAACAAGCAATATCATTGTGCAGGTGCATAAGTAAAACTCTTAAGTGCTTTTTTTGTTGTCTTATTTCTTTTGTTTTTATCATTTGCCAAGGTATAAGCGAAAAAGGTGGGCCTTGGGAGCCAGATAGAAGAAATCCTGGCTATAAAGCGATAAAATAAATTATTCTTCAAAAGTACAGCGTCATCGTTTTTAAAAGTGTATTTTAGTAAACCGTAGTTACAGTTTGTCCTAAGGTTTATTAAGAGTTTAGTATACTACTATTAACAATGCAGGTTAAAGGTATTTTTACCATTGTTTGACCAGTTTTGTATTTGTGCAATCTGGTCGGTATGTGCAAATAAAAAATGATTCAAATGTGAGCTCTTTCCTCACTTAAAGATAATATGACTATAACCTCAATCCGTGATCTTGAATTTATTTAATCCATTGGTTTTAACAGGCTTGACCGGTCAATACGATTGAGCTTAATCCGCACAACAATGAAAGTGATTCCTTATATTACCTAACGGGAGCATTTTTGGGTGAAAGGAATAGGTCCAAGTACAGAGCCCTGTGGCACTCCATGGCTAAATGTTGGTTTACATGAAGGATGCATCGTTAACGGGTACAAAACTGTTCAGATAAGTAGGACTTACACCAGCTCAGTGCCGTAAGCTTTATGGCAATTAAATGTTGTAGTCTCTGTAATAGAATGTTGTGGTCAATGGTATCAAATGCAGCGCTGAGATCCAACAAGACAGAATGGAGACAAGTAGTTTTTCTGATGCAATGAGAATGTCATTGACTTTTACAAAAGCAATCTCTGTGCTAGGATGCATTCAAGCCAGATTGAAAATCCTCTGATAAACTATTGTTATTTAGGAAATAACTGTTTTGTAGCTCTAAGGATCTTAGAAAGAAAGAGAAGGTCAGATTTTGGTTTAACGATACAAAGCAACGATTCTCTTAAATGTTTTACCATGGTCAGTATTTTTCAGAGCTGCTCAAGTAATATGTTTAATTTCATAACTTTGGTTAAACATCTTAACTTTAGTGTGAATCTTCTTTGTTTGTGTCTCCTTCAGGTTTGTGGTCACGCTCTGATGAGGCAGTATCAAAGCCAGTTCTGGAAACTCATCCTGCTACTTAAAGAAGAGTACTTCCCAAGGTAAACTTTAAAGATTTTAAACAGTTTTTCATTGTCAGGTTAAATGTGTTACCGTTTTAACTTCCTATAGACTGATGTGCTGATTGTGTGTCTTCGTTGTCTCCAGAATTGAAGCGGTGACCAGCAGTGGACAGATGGGCTCTGTCATCAGACTCAAACACTTTCTAGAGGTACGCTACCCACCGCTAATGTTAGCAATGTTGTACATCTTTTAAATCGCCTTTCCAGGGTTCAAAATGGTTTAATACCTTGCCTGCTCAGGATTTGCTTACAAAGTTGAGGGAAAAGAACAATATAACAAACTAAAACATTTTCCAAAATGATGACATGCAGGTGAAGACTAAAAAGTAAAAATGCAGTCTGGAGAATCTATTAATAGATTACAACATGGTGTTTTCTGTTATTGATTGTTCTGAAGGTTCAGTTTTATTTTGCAGGATTACACATGGAAATGTAGTTGTAGCCACCTCCGGACTTCACACACAGAAACAAATCTAAATGGTGATTGAAATAAATGGAAAGAAAAATAGAATAGCCATAAAGAACATAGTCGAATATAATTAAATAATACTATATAATAATACTTGCAATCAAATATGTAAGAGATAATCTGCATGGAGCCAGTCTTTGCACATTATCCTGCTTATTTCAATGCTGCTTATTAAATAAATCATAGATTTGACCCCCAATAATGATTTAAAAGTGAAGTCCGAAGTCTGTCAAAAACAAGTGTTATTTTGGCCATGGTTAAAGTTGAATTGACCCGACATCTTTCGGCGGATTGATATGACTGCACGTAGTCCCTTGATCAGAGCGTCCTTAGCAGCAGTCTGACCAATTGGAATTTAGTTTTCAATAAGGTTGTGTAATAAACATTTAATAAGAATGTTGATTAGTTTGTGTGATCTAAATCTTGGGTTTGTTTCTTTTGGGAACTAATATTTTCTCCTTCCGCATGCAGACGTCACTGCAGTGCCGACAGATCCGGCCTCCAAAAGGCCAGCTGAACTCAGCTTTTTGGAGCTCCTGATGGAGGAGGAGGAGCCATCATTTTGGATGTTTCTGCATGACGTTATTTAGGACTGAATGAAGCAGAGAGGGAAATGTGGTTTGAGGTTTGGAACTTAAAGCCGACTTAGTGAGTAATTGGGTGGAAAAGCAAAGTTGCTGCTGGAGGAAGATTGTTGTTCACATTAGTGAGAGTAACACGGCTTCTGTGGATTTATGAACTTGTGTCAGGTGTTCGACTGTGGCTCAGTGGAGGCTCAACTACACAAATTCAACAGCTTTGAAAAGCTAAGGGCTAAAAAGGAAGCACTTTAACACCAATGTGTTTAAATGTTGTTTTCCTTCTCCTTACACCTTTAGAATATACTCAAGCATTTGCGTGTATGCAACAAGACAGAAGTCAATTATTTGAAGAGGTTTATATCAGTTTTACTCACAAAATGTAGTCACTACTGCTTGTTTTAATTTTAATAGTTGCTGTTCAAATCAAAACAGTTTTGAATGTTTTTTCTGCTATTTATGTTTTTTCTGAATCCACTATGTGGAACAAAGATTATACCGCAAAACTGCTGAGGCGCATAACCAAATTATTTGGTGTTCATTTTAATACAGAAATCTGAAAATGATGGAATAATATTCAGATTATGACAAAAGTGATTTACCAGATTGATTGTTACTGTCATCTATAAACCAAATGTCTGAAATAAAACCGCATCAGCAGTTCACTGAAGCTTGTTGTTATCCTGTCATATTTTTGTCAAAATAATTGTAATAAGTATTTTAATGCTATGTGTTATGACCCGGCTTAAAAGGCCACAACAAAGAGGAGACACACCATGTCAACGGTTACTAAAATATGTTTATTTAACCAAACAATTCAAATTAGCCAAATCAAATGAAGTGCAACAGTAAGTAAAGCATGAGGTGTGGACGTCAGTGGTATCAGTAGTGTAAATGCAGGGTGAGGGTTGCATGGACGTGTATGTGTGAGGGTGTGGAGGTGCACAAAGTAAAGCAACTAAAGTAACAACAGCATATACTCAACAAAACCGGAGGCCTGTAGGGAAAAGCAGAGAGGCTTTAAATAGCTGCAGGACACCAGACCCAGGTGCCCTGAGTTACTGCAATCAACACAGCCCAGACAGGACAGCCACACCCTCTCTAATGATGGACCCACAGGGGCATCACAGCCCCCCCCTTAAGACGGGGCCCCAAAGGGATCCACGACCAACCAACATCCTCCTTAACTCCACTGCCTTTATGTCCCACTCCCCCTTGTCCTCTTTGCTCAACATCCTCCACATCTCTCCGGCCTTCTTGGAGATCTGTGATGGAGATGCCGGGGTTCTCAGACTTGATTCTCTCTCGGCTGACGTTGAGCCACAGCATGTAGGCGCTCATCTGCGTGCCGACCTCCTTCGGCCTCCTCTTCCTCTCTGCGGGGTTTCCTCTCTTTTTTCTTCTTCTTCTCCAGGTAGGCATTGTGCTGGTCTTCGTCCGAGTCGCTGTACTCGTCGATCTTACCCTTCATGCCCTCTTTGAAGCCTCTGTTCTTGACGTTGAGCTTGGCATTTACAAAATCAAACAGTTCGTCGTATTCTTCTCTCTCAATGCTGCCGAAGGTGAACTGATTTCCCTGCTGGATCTCTGAGTGAGGAAGAGTCTCCTCGTCTTCCTCCTCCTTTGACACAGACGAAGGGGGATCAGGCAGTGAGACCACCTGTTCAACAACACTTTTCCTACACTCCGAAACAGGCAGGTCAGTAGACATCCTACGGCTCTGCGCACGCGTAACAGTACAAACTGGAAACACCCTTGGAAATTGCAAACCGCTCCCATCTGGCTCCACAGATGCCAACGGTCTGGAAACCACCACAGATGGTGGCACACCAGCCCACACAGCACTACCAGCGAGATCGTTGCCCAAAATCATCTGTACCCCATCAATTGGCAACGCGGGACGCACGCCGATAGACACAATCCCTCGCACCAACTCACAATCCAGCACAATTGTATGACGTGACACGGGAATCAAGCCCATCTCCATGCCCCTCATCAACACAAAATCCCCAGTCTCTGTCTCTGATGAAAAAGGCAACACTGACTCAACAATAAATGAGTATCTAGCTGCTGTGTCACGCAACACCTTAATCGGAACATACTTGTCACTACCGACTGACACAACTGCTTCCGTTATGAACGGCTCAAAACCAGAACCCACATCTAAGTCGGCACAAACCAGCTTCTTGTCAGGCACCATGCCCGATCCTACACCCTGCGGCTTTTTAACCAAAACGGCAGAACAACACATAGCTGGAGCATGTGTTGAAACACGAGGCTTCCCCTCAGGTTCCAGCAATGGACACTGCTCCTTCCAATGACCCTTTTCTCGGCAATAATGACATTGGCCCACTCTGGCGCCCTCGGATCGCCCCGGACCTGCAAATCTACGGGAGGAGCCTGGTGAAAACTTTGCACCACCGCGGGAATAGCCAACATCTTCTCCACGTCTCCAATCACCCCTAGAACACTTCTCAGTAAAACTGCCCTTATGCGTCAACACAAAATCGTCCGCTAATTCAGCAGCTCTAAGCGCGGTGGAAGGTTTCTGCTCATTTACATAAGTGGCCACACGCTGAGGGATAACATCTTTAAACTGTTCCAATACAATGAGTTCACAAAGACCGTCAAAACTGACAACCTTTGCTGCCGCGCACCACCGCTGAAAATGAGAAGTCAAATCACGGACAAACTCCACATGCGTCTGCTTATCCCCCTTGACCCAACTTCTGAACCTTTGACGATACGCTTCAGGAACCAGTTCGTATGATTTTAACACTGCTGATTTTACTCTAGCATAGCCCAAAGCATTTTGCATGTGCATGTGTGAGGGTGTTGATGTGCACAAAACAGCATATACTCAACAAAACCGGAGGCCTGTAGGGAAAAGCAGAGAGCGCACAGAGAGGAGCAGAGAGGCTTTAAATAGCTGCAGGACACCAGACCCAGGTGCCCTGAATTACTGCAATCAACACAGCCCAGACAGGACAGCCACAACCTCTCTAATGATGGACCCACAGGGGCATCACACTATGGGATAAGTGTTTTTCAATTGTAACTGACAAATAGTACTTCGACTTAGCACTTTTGACCTGTGAAGTAAAGCTATTCCTTAGTTGCCTAAAACGCAGCCATTCTACCTCTGAGCCTGATTTCCTAGGCCTTGTTTCTCTCATGTAGGAGACTGGACAGTTCAGCAGAAAACCAAGGATTGTCTCGTCCCTTCACTCTAAAAGTACGTAGGGGTGCATGTCTATCAATGATTTCCATAAAACCAAGATAAAAATAAGACCATGCAGTTTCTACATCAGCACACAGATCGATTTTTCCCCAATCAAACCCAAACAGATCATGAACAAAACCCTGCTCCACAAAATGTTTTATGTCTCTCTTACTGATAATGCGAGGTTTAACCTTTTGGACCTTAGTGTCCCTAATTGTGGCTACAGCACAGTGGTCACTCACATCATTCGCAAATACTCCCACAGATGAGTATTTATAGGGAACATTAGTTAGAATGAGATCAATTAAGGAGGATTTATTAGGGGACTTAATGTTAGGGCGAGTAGGACTGTCAACAATCTAAGTAACATTCAGAGAGATACAAAGGTTTTTAAAATCCTCTGACACAGAAGTTAACCAGTCCCAGTTAAAATCACCAAGTAGCACTATTTCCTTGTAGTCAAGTTGAGATAAAAGATTTGCTAGCGAAGACAAGGAGTCCTTGACAGCTGAGGGGGGTCTGTAACAGCCCACCACCATGACCTGTTGACCCTTCTGTGGCACAGACTCCAGGTGTTAACCCCACCGCCGTGCCTCATGAAACAACTGCAGCGGCTCCTCGTGGATTTCTTCTGGTCGGGTCATCACTGGGGTGCCAGCATCGGTCCTGTACCTACCTGTGGCGGAGGGGGGCAGGGCCTTGTGGACATTACTGCGAGGACTGCTGCTTTTAGACTGCAGGCAGCTCAGCGGCTGCTGTATGGTGCCTCTCCCTGCTGGCTGGCTATGGCCCAGCTGTTGCTCTGGAGGGCAGGGGGCTTTGGTTTTGATAAACACCTGTTTCTGCTGAAGGCCCCTGCGTACAAGATAACTGGACTTGCACCTTTTCAGTCATGCCTGGAAGATTCTGAGTTTTACCAGACCACCTGACCCCCGGCCTGGGACGTGGCTGTTTGAGGAGCCACTGTTTGACACTGGTTTTCTTTCTGGAACCCATTTCTCTTCAGCCACCCTAAAGAACGCGTTCATCGAAGCGGGAGTGGTAAAAACTTGGCCATTTGACAGGGATCTCCACAGAAAAACTGGCTGAGGTGACGGGCATTCGATCAACCCGAGTTCTGGAGAACCTGGTAGATGAGGTGTGGCAGTCGCTGTCGCCATCCCACCGGACTTTTGCTCAAAATGCAGATCTGGCTGACCAGTGGAGAAAGGGACATGAGTATGTCTTTCCTGCCTTGAGTGTGGGTCCTGCAGTGGGGGAATGGAGAGAGGAGGATGGTCTCCTGCTACCACTGGGGACTCTAGCACCTGGAACGTTCAGCTCCTGCAGTGGAAAGAAGCTATATCGTAGCTGCGTAAAGGTGCTAAACCTCAGTTCTCTTCCAGGCGTCAGAGAGTCGAGGTGGACGGATGTGTTTGGCTTGGGCTTTTCCCCTCAGGGCAGCTGGCGGATCCTGTATAAATCTCCGGTTGAGAAACGGATGGCTGACATCCAATGGAGAATCATACACGGAGCAATAGCCACTAACAAATACAGAGCTCATTTTGACCCAGGCCCATGGGGGGGCTGTCTGTTCTGTTTTATGGCAGAAACATTGGAACATTTAGTGGTGTCCTGTCCCCGATTAGCTGGTCTAAAAAAAATGTTACAGGAGTGGGTGGAAGGGTTGGGGGAGGTTTTCTCCATACCACTTGTTGTCCATGTCCCCAAATACACCCTGAAAAAGAGGGAAACTTTAGTACTGATACATTTCTTGTTTGCTAATGCAAAATGAGCGATCTGGAAAAGTAGAAAGAACCAAGTTGCTGGAGTGGGATGGACGGATGCAGTGCTCTGTCTGAGGGGGCTGGTGGCAGCGCGTCTGAGGGTGGTTTCTGGATGTGTGGGCTGTTGGGCAGGTGCTGTGCTCACTGGGGGAGAATGACTCTCTATTATTGAAATTTTAAAGGATAGGTGTAGTCTTTGTTTTTAAAGTGTGTAAAGGAGGATGTTTTTAAATGGGTAAAATGCTTTCAAATTATATTTATTTGGAAGTCATGAACATCTGTTTATTTATTTGATTTTGTAATGTATTAGGTTTTTTCCGACTCTTTTACAGGGTGGGTGTGTAGTTCAAACAAATGCAAATACAATTTGTTTTAAAAATCTTATCTTACCTCAACTCACATTATCTTACCTTATCTCACCTTACCTTACCTTATCTTATCTCATCTTACCTTACTTTACCTTATCTTACCTCACCTTACCTTACCTTATCTTATCTCATCTTACCTTATCTCATGAACCCCCTCGTCCTGCAGGTTTTATCCGGACCAACATGACGAATTGGAATGAATTGGAAATGGGGGACCCTGATGTAAACAAGACGAAAGTCTTTCTCTGGTCTGCATCCCCTTAACAATTGTATGTTTTGAGCTGTACTGTACTGTACCCAATATACAAGCTGT